CTTTATTTCCAAAATTTGCTTTTTAACTGCTTCAACTTCCCTATCAAAGTATAAGAAGTAGTCCGACTTTTTTACAGCAGTACCTAACTCTAAGCATGTGTTAGTAAAAAAATACCTACCAATCATATCTTGATATACTCGATACAATAACCATGTTTTATGGATCGGACATTTTATTTGTTCTAGCAACAAATTAAGATGTATCCGTGTTCAAAATTGTTCAATTCGTATTCATACCACCAATTGAGCCTGATTTAATATAAAAATCTTACTATTTTGGACAATAATCAATTTCAGAACCGATATGTAGTGTAAGTTATTGACATGGTCACCATTTGACGATTATTGGTAGTATTTAGGAGTGTGTAATGGATGATTGGAACCAAAAAACTTGTTTTAATTAATGGATACTAGTGCAAATATTATTAATATCGCATTTTAAGATATAAATTTTAGGAAATCGCCGTTAAATATCGGCGATTTAAAAACGGCAATGTTCCGCAACGGATTGTAATTATTGCAAAGAAACAATTAATTTAAAAGTTAAAATATCGTCTTCCAATGCATCATAATGAACAAACGAGGGATATTATTGAATACCCGATCCAAAACTCCGGGGGTTTAATGTTCTTAAATAGCAAAAAATGCTCCTATAAATAATATTCAGATCAATTACCAAAAATTTCAATTTTTCGGAACAAAAAGTGAATTTTTTCCATGTTATAGTGTACAGAATATTTTATTATAAAATAATTACATTCAAACAGGTAAAATTTTCATGAATTTTGTTAATATCATTAAGCCAAATACATATTGAAATTATCTGTATACTTACTTTTGTGACGTAAATTTTGTACCTATTTAACTACACCTTAAATGAGAACTCAAGTAACCAAAATAACCCGGAAAAAAGTAGTGAATAATAATTATCATAATTGTTTTTAATAAATAAATATGTTACTTTCTTGATTTTTGAAAAAATAATATCCTTTTTTAAATAAAACCAATTGTCAGTATTTCTGTATACTTATTTTTGAGATTAACTGTATAATTGTAATTGGATCTTCATTGATATTCTCAAAACAGTCCTTTTGCAATTCAACTATCCTCCTTACAGTATGGTCGACCAAGCCCTGCAAAAGCACTTCTGCAGACCTATCAGTAATTTCACTCCGAAAGGATAACATTTTTTTGCTAACAACAAAGTATCATATGATGGATATATGTATGTTTGCATAAATTTGTAGGATTGTTTTGTTTTGCCGTCCACGTATATTCCCAAGGCTTCATCGGGCGTATATGCAATAGGTTTACTAACCTCTGAAGTAATAGTTTTTTTTTTTAAATCTTAGCTGTAACTTCTTTATCAGAATGTACCATTGATACCACTTCAGATACACTTCTTTTCCCCGCTTTGTGTAAACTAACGCGGGTGGCTACTATAAGCTCCTCAAAAGGGGTTTGAAAATTTGTTTATTTGGGTTTTAGGGGAGCATTCAGCGAACTCTCTTGTAGGTCGTCCAGCATTATGACTTGTTGTTGGTTGCTCAAACAATAAAATTTCACTGTTCAACCAATCTTTATGGGTCTATAAAGCAGAAAATTTCGTTCTGGGTACATTTTCGTTATACCAAATTTTAAAAAGTGTGCGTTTTGAGACATTAATTGCGCCTAAAAAATGCAATAACAGGTAAACGGGCAGAAAGGGGCAGTCCATTTTGCACATTTTATAATAACAGCAAATAAAATTCATACATAAAATAGGAATTGGACTGAATCCCATTGAATCCCGAAAATTGCACTCCATGAAACTACAATATAGACCACTTCTAATATACTACCATATACGTCATCTACCACAACCCATTTCTAAAAAACTAGGGGAACACAGGTCACAAACATAAATTTTTTAGTACATAAATACCTTTTACTTAAAAAATAAATATAGTTTCAAAAAAAATTAATAACTTGTGTCAATATCAATAAAAATCACACACTGAGTAATTTGGCGCCAAATTTTTAAATACAAAAGCTACAACAAATAATATGTTTGACAGCTCACAGCGAATATTAATAGCGAAACAAATGTAAAAACGTCTATATGATCAATATGGTATCAGCTATCGATAAAAAGCAAAAAAATCATCGATTTTAACATTTCAAAATATGAATTTAATGACGCCAGATCATGCATTTCGACCAATGTGCAATGATGGTCTTTTAAGAATGGCTGCCTGGCATGAGAAAAACAAAATGACAAAAATTTCATGCTTTTGCTTCCCTTCTCAAAGAAGGAAATTTAGAATGAGTATTGAATCTTTTAGAATGGAGCGCATAGGTCTGCTAGAAGGTCTTTCAAGAATGGCTGCCTGGCATAATAAAATCAAAATGCAAAACATTTCGTGTTGTTGCTTCCCTTCTCAAAGCGGGGAATTTGGAAAGAGTATTGGATCTTTTAGAAGAGACCGCATAGGACTGCTAGAAGTTCTTTTAATTATGGCTGCTTATCAAGAGTAACTCAAAATGTAAAAAAGTACATGATGTTGATTCCCTTCTCAAAGAAGGGAATTTGTAATGAGTATCGGATCTTTTAGAAGGGAGCACAGAGGCCTACTGGAAGGTCATTTCAGTAAGGCTGCCTAGCATGAGAAACAAAATCCAAAAGAAGGGCTAAAGAGACCTTATAAAAGGCTTCCGAAGCGAAGGCCTCAAGAATTTTACCACTGGTTTGTTTCGTATGTTTGGATGTCTGTGGGTTTCATTCGGTTGTGTATTTTCCCAGCGGGAAAAAGAGGCAGTAAAAAGGCCTTACTAAAGGCATTATTTTGCAGACACAAGCACACCCCGCTGCATTGCCAAATAATTTCAATATTACACGGCGTGTCATTGTCAGCCAAGTGCTTGCCTTTCGCTTCTGTTAAAGGGCTGATAGAAGGCTTACTTAAAAAGGCCTATTAAACGGTCTTCCGTTGTAGGCCTATAAGAAGATCTTGCGCTGAAGGCTTATAAGAAGATCTATAATGTAATGTATATAAAATGGTCTTCCGTTAAAGTCATACTGGAAGGTCTTCAGTCGAAGGAAATTATAATAACAGTCCTAGGGACTTTTTCATAAGAATTTATCTTAAGTTTTATAAAACTAATTTTCATGCAAAATTTATTATATATGTACAACTTTGATAAATTCTTATCAATAAACCCCTAAGAATTTTAATATAATTACCTGTGCAGACATTCTACAAAGCCTTTACGTGAACTTACAACATAAAGTTTTGCCTAAAGACTAAATTTTACTTGGAATGTAAAAAATACATTCTTCTGTTTACAGGTAGCGGTTTATAAAAAAAGAGCAACATAAATTTTATAGGGAGAGCCAATATAAAATAATAATTGCAAACCCAATAATGTTTGAATTTTAATAATTGTTTGGCATTGCTTGCAATGCAACTAGTAATGTGCATGAATCCAATAAGAAGGGGAAGCAATGTGCTTGTGAAGCAGTGATGCCAAGTGTAGGGATTTTTCCCTTTTTGTAGGGATTTTTTTCAAAAATTTCACGTGTAGGGAAAAAGGGAAAGATTTCTTACTATTGTCAAATTGTAGGGATTTTTCAATTTCATAGTTTTTAACAACTAAAAATATACTCTTTCATGTATTAAACTTTTAAATTAAAAATGAAATCAGTTTTAAGTGTATCGTTAGTAAAAATTCCGCTTGTAATTTCTACAATATTTGTACCTACATATCGCTACAAGACTGGCATAATCCAAAATTCGGCTTTCTTGAACTAAGGTCTTCAAAACATGCGACATACTAAAATCTTTCATATAGATTTATGAAATTTCAAATATGTCTATTATTTTCGATGTGAAATCGATTTTTTGTAAACGTAAAAACTAAAACCCACGTTTTTGTGAATATTTGACAACTAAAAATTTAATTTCAATTTAGATGAGAAACATATTAACCTCAACTATCTGAATCTGGATTTTAAAACCCCTTGATTTGTTTAAAAGTTATTAAAAAAATAGTTAAATGTCATTAAATATTCATATCCATTTTTCTTGAAACGACTTTTTGGATTATGCCAATCCTGTAGGGCGATATATTCTGACTCCTTATAGATAGAGTAGTCGGGGGCTTAATGCAGTAACTCAGGATTGAAAAAATGAATTTAATGTTCTGAAAATTTATAAAAGTAAACCGCAAAAAGTAAACGCAAAAGTAAACCTTATTTAAAATAATTATTTTATGAAAATTTTTTTGTTGCAGGCACATAAAATAAATTTCTATCACGATTCGATATACTGCCATAAATCTTTCAATTGTTTTTTTTTTAATCTTAACTGAAGAGTCAGGGTTGGAAGATTTGTATGATGTAAAATTGAAAGAAAAAAAATTAAAATTTAAATTCTAGAAATTTCATTCCTAAAAATTAAAAAAAATACATACATATATGTATATTATAAAACGGAGCTAATATTTTAGTTTTTGATGTTATTTTTGTATTTTTTTAAGATAAACTTTGAAAAAAATGGAAAAAAGTAGTGTAGGGAAAAATGTAGGGAAAATAAAAAGTGGGTGTAGGGAAAAAAGGGATTTTTTCTCATAAGCGTAGGGATTTCTGAAAAAAATCTCCTGGCATCACTGTTGTGAAGTATCTTCTGCGAGAATCGCATCTTTTATAATGTGTAAACATGTCTCTTAGAAGGCCTAAAAATGGAAGTCCTTGCATTTTATTCCGCTGGGTTGTTTTTGTTTTTTTTTGTGTATTTCGTTTCGTATGTTTGGATGTCTATTGTTTCATTGTCTTGTGTATTTTGTTTTCTTGTGTGTTTTATTTCGTTTAGCGTTGTTGTTGTTCCTTTTATCCTAATATTTTTTAAATACACTATGGTAAAGGGTATATAAGATTCGGCACAGCCGAATATAGCACTCTTACTGGTTAAAATACACATAATTTCAAATAGATAATTAAATTTTAATTTCTTACATTTCAGGAGTCTCGTGGAAAGAGACCGCTAAAAATTTGGGATAGCTGGCGAAATGTACGGAAAGGAGTAGTTGTTGGCACATTCGAAGAGTTATTAGTTAGAGGTTTGACACCAACATTATTTATATTGATATTTTATAATTCGATATATTAAATTTTTATTTATAGGCAAAGATAAACTAGGGGTTCCTGCCTCAGAACCGGTACGACTTGTTCTGGAGAGCGATGGGACCCAAATTGAAGATGGAGAATATTTTCGCACTCTGGCAAATAATACAATACTATTGCTGTTAAGGCAGGGAGAACGTTGGTATCCAACTGGCGTCGATGTCATAAAGGCTGGTGAGTACTACATTATTACTAGTTTTTTAATAAATATGTATACTTTGTCAAACGGAACAAGTTTTACCTAAACCAGTAACAACTAGAAAAAATTAAAATGTATGAAAATGAAGTAAATTTATGATATGACGGATATGATAGGACCATTTTAATATTTGCAAATTATGAGTTAAGCTATGTTCCAAAGCAGTTTTGTTTGTCGCATTTCATTATACACACTCTTATAAATTTTTGTTTAAATTTACACTATTTATTGGAGGTAACCAGACTCCTACCATAATTGTGTAAAAATACATTTTAAAAAATATTAAAATTTTTTATACGCATTGTATGTATATTAGGCTTCGTTTCAAAAAATAAAATGTTTCCTGTTTTTGTGATATCACAACTTTTAAGAAGGTTTTTGTATCATGGATCACAATACTGTAATAATTTTTTCAAAATTCCAACTCCTTCATCTGCATATCTGAGGCGGAAAGCACTGATTTTGAGCGACATTTTTTACAGAGCAGAATCTGCAGGATTAATAGGAAATCATGCTTTAATAATTGATTTTATAGGACAAATCGGTAAGAATGAGCTGAAATTCACACTTTTATAATGCTCCAAAAGTGCATTTAGAATTATCCAAAGATGCACTTTTTAAAAAAATATTTGAAAAATTTTTTTTCTTTACGCATAATCAAAGTATGCTTTTTGCTGAAAAAAGTGGTGCAAAAAATATCTTCTATCATTAACCCTTTAGATGTGATGAGACTTTAAATTTTCAGAATTTAAACTTTACAACGCTATATTTCGAAAACCACGATGTTGTAGCGTTGTATGCGTTGTATGTCAGCAGCTGCTACAATAGTCATAACAATGTTGTTGGTATTTTCTATGCAAAAGCTTTATACAACTCCTACGACAATTTTTCATATGTTTTTCGAATGTTGTAAGAAAGTTTATTGTTGCCAATTGTTTATTTCAACATATAAACAAAAAATTCAAACGATTTTAGCATAAAAAACGATAAAGTGGTAACACTGAAATCAAAAACAAACAGCTGTTTACCAAAACAAAAAAACTTAAATTTTATTAAAAACTGTTTATTTATTAGTTTAAAATGTGGAATAAAGAAAATAAATGAATTGAAAATTCAAAGAAATTAATTTGGTTTACTTCGCATGTTTAATTAATTTAATATTTTTGATTTTTTTATCTTTTGACATTGTTATGTATATTTGTTTTGATTGTTTTTTTTTTTTTTTTTCATTGAGAACATAAACATGACTTGCTGCAAATATCTGTTCACAATCCCTGTTACTACACTTCAGTAGGTACAATATACAACTTGATTGTGAATTGAATAAATATAACCATCATAAATCCTAAACGGATTACAATAAATTAAAAATTTTAACACAATTTTTTTAAGGGCATTGAATATTATATTTTCGAATGATAAAATCAATTTTTGAAAAATTTTTTTTAAATTGCATTTTTTCTTTTGCTCTTATGCATTTATAGTGCATCCAAATTCTGTCAAATTAAGTTTATATATCTTAAATTTTCCTGTAGAATAGTATACTAAAGTCGGATTTGAAGTATATTCAGCAGTTTTTGGTCTATCAAAAAATGTCGCCCATAATCGGTCTTTTGGCCGCAGATATGCAGATGAAGGAGTTGAAATTTAAAAAAAAGTAATTACGCCAATATTAGTGCTGATTCAAAAACTTTCATAAAAGGTATGATATCACAATTTCAAAAATATTGCGTGAAGCCTAATGTATATATGTATACACGATACAAAATATGGACATACAGTGTCTCACATAAGTATTAGAATTTAATGTATTATGAAAAGAAACATAATTTTGTAGGAAAAATAAATAAATAAATTTATTATGTTGTGCAGACAGTCCTTAAATTTTATATCACATTTTTATACCCTACTCCACTATAATGGGGAGGGTATTATGCGTTTGTGCTGATGATTGTAACACACAAATATATTACCATCTTAAAGTATACCGATCGATCGTCTGTCCGGCTGGCTGGCTGACTGTCCATGTAAACCTTATGCGCAAGCTACAGGCCGCAATTTTCAAGATAATTTGATGAAATTTGGACCAAATTTTTTTGCAACAAGGAAGCCTATTGAAAATGGTTGAAATCGGTCCATTATTTAATCGATTTGGGCTTTTTATGCCATAATTACGTCAAATATACTATTATCTCTCTAAAAATTGGCACAAATAAGTTTTATATAGGTGTAAATGATCGGCTCTTGTTTGACCCTAGCCCCCATACAAATCCCCCTTCAAAAAATGTCTTAAACGCCTAAAATTGTAACCATTTGTATCGCAATAAAACTAAACATAACTATTATTTAAAATATATCCTTTTCCCAAATTTAATAAGGATCGGCCCATGTTTGACCTGTACTCCTTTATAAAGCCTCATTTAAAAAATTAGTTTTTTATCAATAAATTGCTTAAATACTTTGGAATTAAGGTAAAATTCAATATAAACGATTCTTTATGAAAAATAAAAATTTTTAAAATATACTCATGGTGTAGGGTATTATATGGTCCGCCATGCCCGACTGTACTTTCCTACTTGTTAAAAATTAAAAAAAAAAAATAATTTACTTAAACTAATTTAGTCTTTTTTTTTTTTAAAGTGCATAATATTGCTTCTCAAAAGTATTTGAATTTTATGTATATATAATATTTAGATTAGCATTATGAAGTAAAAATAAATAAATAAAACTAAATTAATATTTTGTATAGTAGACTTTGTTTTAAAAAACAGTTTCCAAGTGTTGTTCTGGCGTTATTTTTTCCCATTCTTCATGTAAAGCAACTAGTGGTTTTGGAGGATACTGAGTGATTTCAAAGTTGTAAATATGACCGTGCAGGCCAAGTCCAGACATTAACTCCATTGAAAATTTGGTGAAAGAAGATACTTAGTGTTTGTAAATGATCAACATTTTCAAGTACCTAGACGTGTGTTTAGGATAGTTATTCTATTGAAAAATAAATTGATTAGGTTGTAGTTCCATTTTGGTGGAACTGTCATGCAAATTCTGCTTTAAAATTGACAAGTAGACCTTCTAGTCTATAATTACATTAATAAATTTTAGCTGTCCAACACCGTGGGCAGACACACAACCCCAAACTATTAGAGAACCACTTCGGTCCTTTACAGTAGTTTTTAAATTAAATAATTTCAAGGCTTTTCCAAGCTTTCGCCATACCATTTGACTATCGTTTGTGCCAATAATATTAAATTTGTTCTCCTTACTTATGAGCAGGGAAACCAAAATATGCAAATGCATGTTTTTTGTGGTGCGTCATATGGACTCACGAATAAGATATTTACACGTTTCAGACCAATTTAAGAATTTTGGTATCGATTTGTTAGAGCATATTTTTGCATATTTTACCTATAAGAGCATATATATGCATGATTTGACTTTTGTAGCATATTTTAGGCATATTTTCGAGTTTTTAGAGCATATTTTACTCTTTTAGTGCATATTTTGAAGTTTTTCGCTTTTTTTCATTTGTGTACATTTTTAATTTTCTTTACAAAACTTTATTTAAAAAAAATCAAATTTAATTTTTTTATATATTTTTTTAATTTTTTAGCCTATTTCACAATTTTGAAAAAAATTGTTTTCGTTTGTAGAACTTGAAAACTGCAAAAATACATTAATCTCATGAAAACCAATTTTAGTTTTTTACTCAATAATGCATTAAATTGTAATTCGAACATAAAACCGATTACTTTGGATTTCATGACACCAATCCATTTTTATCGTTAAAAAAACTAGTATTGATAACACTGTGTCAAAACGACACAGAAAAATCGAGAACCCTAAACTTAATTTTGGATCGTAGAATCTAGTGGCTTACTCCGTTTTGAAAATTTAAGTCAAAATCGGGAGACATTGCGATTTTAAGTTTTGAAAAAAGTTTTCACGTTTAGACATACGAACTAATTATAAAAAACTAAATATATATGAAGAATTAATTCAAATGGACCCTAGTTTCATATATTTATATACTTTTCTATGAATGTTTTTTTTTAATTTAAATAATTAAAAAACACCTCAGAAACAGTGCAAACTTTAAAATCCAATATCTCCCGATTTTGACGCAACTTTTCAAAACGGAGTATGTGACTAGATTCTACGACCGAAAATTAAGTTCACGTGTTTCGGCGTTTTTCTGTGTCTTTTTGAAAGTTGAAATTTTAATTACAGTGTAATTATTGAATTTTATGACAACACAGATTAAAATGTCAATTTAGAAGCTATGAATACAATTGGAAGAAATGTGTCAAACTTTGTCATTTGAAATATGTTTTTTGGGGACCAAATGTCTTCATGTTATTTATTGGTTATCTGAACGTAAAACTGAATTCTATAAAACTAGTTCTTCAAACTATGAGATGAATCAATTATAAAAAAATCTTGTAGGATGAAGGATTAATAGGATTAAATATTTATTATTTCATTACAATTTCAGTCTTTTTGAGCTTTTCAATGTTAAAATATACTTTAAAATAATTATTTTTGAGCATATTTTTTAGCTTAAAACACTTTTTTAGAGCATGTTTTCGGTTTCCCTGCTTATGAGCCTATTTGCGGAGTCAAGACACTTACCATCGATTGCCGTCGATATGAGAAGTTTCCACCTTGGGACTTGACCATGCGCACAATTTCGTCACTAATTTTTTCCACCGAACTGCCCTGAGTTCGTTGTTAATTTTTGGAGCTGATAGATGAAGGTTCCTTCGGCATTTCCACAGTATTTCTCTGTCATCCTGTACTGACAGCAGTTTTGGACGACCTAATAATGGTAAATACTTGATGGAATTTCTTTGTTCCATGCGTGTAATGACAGAACATATTTTTGATGGGAATCTATCAAACATTTCCGATATGTAATTAATTGATCGGCCTTTATTATGGAGATATAAAATTATTTTTTTTTTTTTACTCAAAAAAT